GGGAATTTGAGCGTGTAACCAGCACTTAATTTGTTTGGTACCTTCGCGTCTAGGATAATACGAAGGAGGTGTTTAAATTGTGATTCCAGTGGAGCCTGAATCTTTACCGCTAGGTGCACAGTTTTTACTCACGTCTTTACCATGGAAATTTTTGGTTTTAATATAGACTGATTCATATATTCTGGTGTAACATTATCGGAACCTAAATACACAAAGACACAAAAGCCTGGTTAATACGGGAAGCGCCTCAAATGCTCAATGGTAAAACACAAAATAACACCAGCCTTCGGTTGAAACTTTCAAGAGAAAATGCAGGGTAGTTTTCTTGAAGCAATTTAATACAAAACGAGTAGTAAATATACCAACGTCGTAATCGGAGGAGCATTTTGCTATTTCGAGCAATACGTGTTTGAAGTCTCGAAATTACATGGAGCCTCATGGCGGTAGGAAAGTTCAAACTGACTTCTTAGTGCTTAAGAAGTAAATTTTGCGAGGGAATTTTTCACGGAATATGCATTGAGACAAGCGTTACTTGAAATCATTGATATCTCATTTTTTTTTAAAAAACTGCACTTATGCGCCTTGTCCTCTAAGCCCCTCATTTACACAAAAGGTAAGGTACTTTAATGCACACTCGCACCGTCATGAATTGCATGAATACAATAGCATTATTGTTTTTGAGGATGTATCGATTATCGTTGAAGGATTTTGATGGGAATCATTCATCCACTATTCTCGAGCTGAGTGTTGGAGTTTTTATAAATTTGGCAACGGTCAACCCTATCGTGCGTCTTGGAAAGAGCACGGCCAGATGTTGCCTCGTTCATTGATTTTGCTCCGGATAAGATCTTTGTATGGGACTTACAATTGTTTTTAATGATTAGAGTTGGTATTTTCCGCTTTATTGCAAAACGTGATCAGAAGGAAAATTATCGTTTTTTGCGAAGTGTTGTGCATTCAACGCCCCCAAAGTTCTTAATAAGTACATGTACTCGTCAAGGTAGGACAGGATTAGCGCTCTTCTTGTGAAAGAACAATATGCCGAAAATAATACACATCTATTAATTTTTTTTTTTTCAAAATTATCTGTAAAGACGTTAATAGCCGGAGTCGCTGAATGTCTTAAAATTATAATAACTAACTAACTAACTATCAACGGTGAAACTACCAGACTACGTATCTCTTTCGCGGTGTTTAAAATCTCCGCTGTCATTTTTTTATTTATTTTTTTTGAAGGAGAACAAATCAATATCATTTCTTGAAGTTTTCACAGAATGTCCTTCGCGAAGAGAAGAAAAAACACAGACATTTTCAAGAATTAACGTTGAAAAGTTTTCTATTTAAAAAATAAAGCATGACAGGAAGTCTGCAACGTCGCAAACCGAGATTAGGTCCGGTGTTTTGCCGTCGAGATGCGCTCCACGCCGACAAGCGACCGCACAGTGTTAGGCGCAATGCGTGAAGTATTCCTGCACTCTCGCAGGCGCCAATATGCTTTTTGCGCCGATTAGTGACCGCACTGTATTAGGCATATATGGATCTTCTAGTATGCATATCGATGACTAAAGTGCAAAACCACTTGTCTCCATTGCGGTGTTTCAAAATTTCCGCTCCTATTTGATTGTATCGGGGAAAAACAAGCTAACTTTATAGCTTTAAATTTATATAGCGTATTCTACGAATAGAAAAGAAAAATTACGGAAGATTCCAAAAAACAACGTTGAGAAGTTATCTTTTTAAATAATAAAATATGGCAGGAAGTCGACAGCGTCACAATGCGAGATTCGTGGTTAATTTTGAGTTCCGCCGTCAGTATATTTAATGATCAACACATGAACTTATGTTGCGTTCTCTACAATCTGTCTTAAAAAAGAATACAATTTTAAGCCTCTTTTTTGTTTTTATCAATTGCGACTTGGCTCCTTTTTGCTGATTTTAATACATATTTAAATTTTAATCTTACCACAGACATTAAAAATGCTTACTGACACGCCCTCATGTTGATGCATATTTCTCTCTATTACTCACCAACATTAAAACCATCTATACTATAAGCTCCGAGACCTCCCAATTTTGCGAAACTGGTAACGCTTAGTTCCAGCGTTCTACCAGGCCGATTTTCATGATTTTTGCGGCTATCGACGGGCAATTGTGTCTAGATAAGCCAACTCTTTTCAGATTTTCAAAATATGGCCCAGGTTTTTTTATATTATGTGGTAAAGTTGCGAATTTTCCCATTTAAACAATGTAAATTTATACTTTTTGTCATAGTTCGTTTGAGCGTTCTACCGGGCCGATTTCCATGATTTTTGCGTAAATCGAGAGGTAATAGGCCCTAGATGAGCCCGCTGTAATCTGATTTTGGAAAAAGGACACAGGTTTTTTTAAAATCACGTTATAAAAGTGAGTGAGTTTACAGAATGCTCCGGTACTGCTACCGCTATGCGCGGGAGGATGCGCAGTGGTCGAGGAGGTTGCGCAGTAGCTGTGTAGCCTGCGCATCAGCTCTACACTTATCTACACAAGATTCGCACCGAAACCCTCACTTCGAGCGGTGACCGAGTCGTCTAAGACTTCGAATGCGTACACATTGAACTCGGTGTTGGTTCGATCCCCGACCCATGAAATCTTAATTCTTACCTGTCTATCATTGTTCATTGTTTTACTGCAATATTTCATCAAGCAGTCATTCCAAAACGCGTCCTTTTAATTTTAAAGTAATTTTAAGTAAAGTTTAAAATTAAAGTATACCTCATATCGTAATTGTTTAGGGGAAAAATAAAACTAACACTGACAGGAGGGTAAAAATAGGGCCGCGAAGCGGCCCATTGATGGCGCGGAGCGCCTTCAGGGGGTTGGGCCGCATAGCGGCCAGGGGGCGTAGCCCCCTAGTAACATTTGAAGATGCGAGGAAAAATGTAATTCTTCCGTGATAATGTTTATGATTTAGTGGATTCGATTGGTATCAATCGCAAAAATATCTATAGGTGAGCATGGAGTCCAATATCATGGATGCAATTTTACATTACCGCAATTTTTTATCCAAACTTCCTTATTTTTTGCACGAGGTCAGAGGATAAATCTGTAACATTTTCAGTTAGAATTGCTCAAGATTTTCCTGGTAATAATGCAAATTAGATAATAATGAAATTTGGCAACTTGAAATTTAGTCGCGTTCTTTCGTAAAGGAAACAACGAAATGGCTACCTCTTGTCTATCTAGGGTCCTCTGACTTCGACTCATCAATGATCATCTTAATTCGACTGCATCCCGATGACTCCCCATCACCCCGCAAAATTCCCTCGAAAATGTCGTCAGGCGGACGTCCAGTCCAAGGTTGCAAAATTGACCGAGCAAATTCATTTTTTTACAAGAATGAACCTGTGCAATTGTGTATTAAAATTGTCCTGCTTTTTGCACAAGAGAAGAAAAATCTGTAAAATTTTCAGTTAGAAATGCCTAAGATTCTCCTGGTAATAATGCAAATTATGGGAAATTTGGCAAATTGAAATTTAGCTACGTTCTTTTAGTGAAGGAAACGACGAAATGGCCAATGTAGTACTCTAACTTTGACTCATCAATAGTTCCAAAGAAGAAAAATCTGTAAAATTTTCAGTTAGAAATGCCCAAGATTCTCCTGATAATAATGCAAATTATGGGAGTTTTGGCAAATTGAAATTTAGTCATGTTCTTTAGTAAAGAAAACAACGAAATGGCCACTTTCTATCTATCTAGGGTACACTAACATCGACTCATCAATAGTTCCATCCGATGACTCCCCACCCCGGAAAATTCCATCCAAAACGTCGTCAGGGGGGATTAGAAGAAAAATCTGTAACATTTTCAGTTAAAAATGCCCAAGATTCTCCCAGTAATAATGCAAATTAGGGGAGTTTTGGCAAATTGAAATTTAGTTAGGAAGTTAGTATAGTTGTTAGGAAACAACGAAATGGTCACTTTCTAGGGTACTCTAACATTGACTCATCAATAGTTCCATCCTGACGACTCCCCATCGCCCCGGAAAATTCCATCCGAAACGTCGTCAGGTTAGATTATAAGAAAAATCTTTAACTTTTTCAGTCAGAAATGCCCAATAATCTCCCGGTAATAATGACATTTGCGACGGGAAATTTGACAAATTGAAATTTAGTCACGTTCTATCCTAAAGAAAACAACGAAATGGCCTCATTCTGTCTATCTAGGGTCCTTTAACTTCGTCTCATCAATAGTTTCATCCCGATGACTCCCCATCACCCGGAAAATTCCATCCGAAACGTCGTCAGGGGAGATTAGAAGAAAAATCTGTAAAATTCTCAGTTAGAAATGCCCAACACTGGAAAAAAAACACATTGGATCTAGAGTTCAGACTCTTGAAAACATTGACCAGAAACAATACTCTTGATTCAATCAGATTTAAGCTTAAATCAAGGACCAAGCCTTTTAATGTAAGCGGATTTCCTTTTGATTTACGCTTAAATCTGATTGAATCAAGAGTCCTTTTTTTTGTCAATGTTTTCAAGAGTCTGGACTTTAGATCCAATGTGTGTTTTTTTCCAGTGTTATCCTGGTAATAATGGAAATCAGGGGAAATTTGACAAATTGAAATTTAGTCACGTTCTTTCCTAAAGGAAACAACGAAATGGCCTCATTCTGTCTATCTAGGGTCCTCTAACTTGGACTCATCAATAGTTCCATGCCGACGACTCCCCATCACGGGGAAAATCCCACCCGGAACGTCGTCGTCGGGGGGCGTTATCCTCGGACGGGTCGCGTTGGCGGGAACATCCTCCCGCGGGGGGCGTCGGGGGGTAAGACGACGCGGAGCCAGCCAGCCAGGGCCGCGGAGGTGTCGGGAGCCGACCTATGAGGGGCGCGCCGGAAAAAACTGGGCGCGAAAAAACCGCGAGACCGCGATCGGGGGAGGCGGCACCCAGCGACGCAGGCTCCAGCCCGCCCCGAATCATCCCTCACGCCGCCCTCTTCGTCGCGGCCGACTCGGGGTAGTTTCAGTCGACGTCTGAACGTCGTGCCAAGAGCAGCGAAGCCCTCACGCGCTTTCGTCCCGCTACCCCACGTGGCCAGCAACGTGATCTCACGTCGGAATTTTCGAGTTGGGTCTTGGATCCCTTTTTTAAGGTTTTCCGTGTACTTTAAATATATGTGGAAAATCGTGCATTCATCGTGAAGTTTCTGCGGTTATTGGAATTTAAACTCCTCACCAAAAGTTGATTTTTTAAGAATTCAACAGCTGATTAAACGTGAGTTAATTTCTTCAAGTTACATTATAGTTGACTGAACGTGAGTAGTTTTTATGAGATTACATCAGTTGATTGAACGTGGTTGTCCAGCAACGTGATTTCACGTCGGAACCTCGAGATTTTCAAGTCGAGTCCCTGAACCTTTATTTTAGGCTTTTCGTCTACTTTGATTCTATGCGGAAAATCGTGCATTGATCGTGAATTTTCTGCGGTTATTGGAATTTAAACTCCTCACCAAAAGCTGATTTTTTAAAATTACAACAGCTGATTAAACGTGAGTTAATTTCTTCAAGTTACATTATAGTTGACTGAACGTGAGATTTTCAAGTCGAGTCTCTGAACCTTTATTTTAGGTTTTCCGTGTTGGGACGTCTACTCTGAATTTATGCGGAAAATCGTGCATTGGTCGTGAATTTTCTGCGGTTATTGGAATTTAAACTCCTCACCAAAAGCTGATTTTTTAAAATTACAACAGCTGATTAAACGTGAGTTAATTTCTTCAAGTTACATTATAGTTGACTGAACGTGAGATTTTCAAGTCGAGTCTCTGAACCTTTATTTTAGGTTTTCCGTGTTGGGACGTCTACTTTGAATTTATGCGGAAAATCGTGCATTGATCGTGAAGTTTCTGCGGTGATTGGAATCTTAAACCCGCCACCAAAAGTTGATTTTTTAAGATTACAACAGCTGATTAAACGTGAGTTAATTTCTTCAAGTTAGATTATAGTTGACTGAACGTGAGTTGTTTTTATAAGATTACATCAGTTGATTGAACGTGGTTATCCAGGGATTTCTCGCCAAAATTTTCAAGTTTCTCTTGAGGCGTCGGTGATCTCCTTCTACGAGTGGTTCCTTGCTAAGAATTACCTGTTTCGTGAGTGTCGAAATAATGTTACATTTGTAACGGTCTATTCTCATCGTGAAATTTTCAGTACCATCGCGCATTCTGTATTGACGTCCAATTCTTTTTCTAGAGTTTGAGGACTGTTAGATGGGATCACAAAATTGCTAAAAAGAACTCTTCTTGCTTTTTTACCGCAGAAAAGTGCAGCGCATCGTCGAGGTAAATGAAAATCTTAAATTTTGGATTGATTTTGTCAGCGCAAATGTCAAAATGACGTTATGCTGGAATGAATATATTAGGGTCGTCTTTTAATGTATCTTCTTACCTCGGTACTTCAACGGTAAGGAATAAAATTGAAATCAAATGATTCTTGTTGATGAATTTTCAGCTTTTAAATGAGTCGAAGTTTGTTACATTCGGTACTCGAGAAAGCCGGGAAACTCATTTTTCATGAACCATCCTTCGCAACTATTACGGTTCCACAATTTTACGCTACCAATTTGACCGGAATTTCTATTACAGTTACACGAAATTATAGGTGTACAAAAGGGGTATGAGACGAAAGAATGCGCTTCTTTGCATCACAGCATGGTTTTATAGTTATAGTAAAAAGACTCTTAATTTTGAGACTACTCTTACAAGCTGCAATTTGATTAACAAAGTGAAATGACGGATTATGTAGCATCGCGTCCATGATATTGGACTCCATGCTCACCCTTGATAAACTTGCCTGCTCATCTCGTCTAAGATCTTGGACTCCATGCTCATCGCTAAACTTCTCACTTCTTTGCTTGAGCATGGAGTCCAATAGCAAGTATAGACCATTCTTAGTTTTAAAGTTCATCATGATAGAAAATCGTATGCTTCTCTTATCTAATCTAACTTGAACTAACCTAACCTAACCTAACCTAACCTGACCTAACCTAACCAATGCACAATTCTTTTACGAAAACACATTTGTCCGTCTTTATTTTACAAAACTTGTCTTAATAAATTTTTGGACCATATGCTCGTGTGTTGTCAGAGAATACCTGCATCCCACAGTTTTGGATGCTATGCTCACTTCGATTTTTCTAAAAAAATTATCTCTCATTAAAGTGAGCATGGAGTCCAAGATCTTGGATGTGATGAGCAACCGAACACCATATAGGTGAGCATGGAGTCCAATATCATGGACGCGATGCTACATTACCAAATGACGGATGTTCGATCAAAACAGCATTTTACTTGTTTTTAAGATTTGCTATGCAGTTATTTCACCTACGCACTTGCACATGAAATTTACTTGTTTGATACGAGGTTACAGAGAAACACACAAATAAACCACTCAACAAATTGCGAGTTTACAAGTTTATTGAATACTTACGGTGATTATAAGATCCAAACGTTTAACTAACTTACTAGTCAAAAATATTTTAAAAAAAGAGAATAAGTCTTATAATGTGACATTTACTCAGTGTTGTTGAAAGTCGTTCGTTGAAAAAATTCCAACGGATCTTGACTCCTGTGTTAAGATATTTCTATTTCAATTTGGTTTGTTGAAAGAGGACGGAATGACATAATTGCTTAAAATTTTCGTAGAATATCCTCATTTAAAGAAAGAAAACCAGGGAAGTTTTTGATAAAAAAACGTCGTGTGGTCTTCTATCAAAAGATTAAAATCCGACAGAAAGTCTCAACCCGAAGACGGATTTTTTTTTCATTATTATTAATAAAAAGTCTTAATATCTATCCATAGTCTATACATTAAAAAGTTTTAAGTTAATTTTTCCCGTTAATTCTTCCATAGTGAAAAGTTTGGGAAAACCGTTAAATATGTCTAGACATATCTCCATAAAAGTGTTGCGTAAATGGTAAGATTTTCAGAAGTGTACAGCATTTAACTAGGATTACAGTCTTTATAGGTTTGAAAAAATTAAACTCCAACCACTAAGTGCGACACACACACACTCTCAAAAACAAAAACAAAACAAAAAACCGCTACAGCGACTGAAAGCTTTCGCAGCGTAAAGGTTTGATATTACTTGGAGACGCGCGATTTATTGTAATCTAGTGTAACTGCTCATAGAGTTTCCAAATGAAGAAGTTACTGATAACACCGATGGACTGAATAGGATACATATGATTTTTTTACTAAAATCTAGACTCTGAAAATGTAGAATGCTTTGTTTCTGAATCAAGATAAATTATAAGAAAAACACAAGTCTATATGTTAAGTTATAAATGTAGATAAAGTCGTTCAATTTTCCGCTCTTGGAATGAATTTCAGCAATGCTTACACAAATTAACTCAGTTATTTTTTTTATTTACAAAAAGGCTCGAGTAGGGAGTAAAGCTCAATCATTAAAGTATAGACCATCAGTAATATTCTGTTTTAAAACCCAAGGAAGTAAAAATTGAGTGTTTAGGGACTATAGCCTATCATCATTCTCAATCTATTACTAACGGAGGAATTGATCTTGAAGTGTCTCACATAATGTTGAATTTATGATCTTGTCTGGATATACATGCAAACAAAGCTTGCGGGAAAGAAATCTAATGAGTTTTTGAAACAATTTGAGGGACAGTTGAACAATGAGCAAAAACATTTTTACGACGATATTCCACCAAGTCGACTGAAATACAAAACGTAAAAGTGTTTTAAGAAGCCTGACGAAAACAAAAAAGTTCGCCTTTGTTTTGGCGCCCTGACGGGAGAAACGAATAAAAAAAGAAAGCCCTCAGAAACTCGTCGGAAAATAATTATCAGTGAGAAATTTAATTAAAACGAGTTGAAGGACATTGTCATGGTTTTTATACTTGTATTTTTCCTCCTTCGCAGTTCTTATATTTAACGGTTTGCGACGCAACATTGCGAGTCCCATGGTGCAGTCGGAAGGTAAAACTCTGTAAACATGCCATGCCGACCGTGAAACTGAAAAGAAACTTATGTCGATGACAAGGCCTCAAAATTTTCAGTCCAACATTTTTTTGCAAAAGAATCTTACTAAACATTTTTAGCCGGACAATTTCAAAGAGTATTCATTAGAGGGACGTTTAAAAATTTGTGCTCTCCTAGTAGCACAAAACGTAAGATTCATAGAAATTAGGGTTATCGGCCAACGGGAAAACTGGTTAAGTTAGGAAATTGGCGATGACTGCGAAATGTTAAGAAAAGTGAGGTAACCCATGGGGAAAGTCAGGAAATATCTGAAATATCTACTAATCACTACAATATATCACTGGTTTGTCCACTATGTAACCTTTCTCTGTTTAATCAGCTTGTCATCTTGAGGAGTTGAGGCAGCTACTGAATGATTGTTCTCATGATTTGATATTAATAAAATTTAATAATAATTTTAGATAACAGATAATAGATTTCTTAATAAATAATAATTTAAAGGTCACAAGATATATTTGTAAGAGCGGTGTCACTTATCTAGAGAAGATCCATTAGCTGAGGTTTAAAATATTATCAAAATTTACAATTCCAAAGAGGAAGAAAAAAAATAAACAAAATTAAATACGGTTTTTTTAATTTGTTTCAGGGCATTTGTTCCAGCTCAACGCGACAGATCACAATCGTCAAAATTGCAAATTCTCTCAAGGTAAGAATCGGTTATAAGTTTTAGCTTACCACATTTGTGGACAATCTAGTACCATTTTTATCCGGTTAAAATAGGCTATTTGAAATCGTAATCAAAATCGTGCCAGATCTCTCATTGGTTAGCGGAGCGGGGTAAGCTCGAGTCATCGATAACCTTGACGCACACGTAACTCCTGCAAGTTGGCAACTCTGTTCGTGTTACTGACGGCGTAGAGATACAACTATTCGTGCTGGATGGATGTCCGTGTTGCGTCTGCAAAATTGAAGGCGCGACGGCTTGTGGCGTGAACTTGCAACGCTCCAGTTGCTCCGTTGTATGCTACCAAAAAGGCGTCGTCGCTCAGATTCGAGAGAATATATTGAAAACGAGGTCCGAATACGTCTCTCCTATCTTCAGCTGTGTTGATACTCGTTTTTTTCTTCTTCTTTTTCAAGGTCATGATCGATTTTTTTAGGATATTTTTGTAGACCTATGTCTAAAGCTCACATGTGCCGGCACCATAATTCTCCCAGAAGTGATAGTCGGGTCAGTTTTCCTAGGCTTGGGGTTTCTAGGGATAGAGTTGTCAAAAAGAATTCCCTGCCAGTCATTTTTTTTTTTTTTTGGAAAAAAATTGACTTCTGATTCTTTTCTTTGCGATTTCTTATAGAATTTATATCTAAAACTCGTTTGTAACGGCTTCGTATAACCCGTGGGCAACGTGTTTTTCAGCAAGCATTGGGTCTATTGACCCGGCTTAGGCACTAAAGGTTGATCAAAAAGTCTTTTGCATTGGGTTTCAAAACTATATAAAAAACTAAGAATCTATTCCACCGCAATAAACCTGAATTCTTCGAAAACTATTTCGTCATCATTCCTTGAGATTGTCAAAATGAAGTTCCTAAAAATGGGGTAAAGATATTTGAGCTCATCTTAAGTTAGTTGTCTGATTATACAGCAGTATTCAGAGACAAATATGATTTACGTTGATTTTGCTTGAATTCTTTTAGTGAGGGAGAAGTTTGAATTTACTCTCTTTAGTGGTCGATAATGAATTCCTGTATCTGTTTCTACGTTTGAATTTCATGCTAGAGCAAGAAAAAGTAGCAATTCTTCTGAAAAAAGGCCCAAAAATCTCGATGAGCGCACTAGGAAAGTCGGCATGCAATACACTCCTAGCTTCACAATTTGCCCAAGAATTATGCGTTCCTTTAAGCTTCTCGCTTCCAAAAAGATACTACGGCATAAATGAACATTTCGTAGGAGAAGTCGTTCCATCCAACCCTTACGCACTATGATGCTACACAATATTCATCATGACTGACACCTCTGTGATCGTTATCAACGCAAAGAAAATGGAAATAAACACTCCGCTGGATAAAATCTCATCTCGTTACGTGTGTTATGGCAGGTTGGAGTCGGCCATATTGAATGTTGCGCAGCATCCCGGTACTTGAGGGTTGAATGCAACTCCTCTTAGAAAATATGCACCTGTGCCGTATTATCGCTTCTGAAGCGGGAAGTTTAAAAAAATGCATATTTTTTACGCAGATGCATTCGTAGTAATTTGTGAGCCAATTTCTCCAAAAAGTTACTCTTCCTGTTTCCTCTGGCAAAGTTTTGCAATAGGCCCATTTTAGAAAGTGTATCCAGTAGAAATAGGAGCGACCTCTTTATATGGTTACATGGAGCGTAAAATTGTACTAAAAATCTTTGCTTCCTCTTCCCGCTATAAAAAGTACCCGTCCTAACACCGTCAGTCGGTCATATTTAATCCCACGTCAGGGATTTAAGAATTTTAGGTAAAATTTTTTCCAAAAAAGAACGCTTGATGAGCATCAAAATGTACGGTAAAAATTAAGTATCTCGATGCCAGTGGGAATGTCTCACGCTGTGATGCGCGCTGTTGCACTCATAATGTAAAAATTGCACATCGCAAAAAAATATCTCTCCTCGAGCGAAGAAGATTTCAATGATAGTGAGCTATGTCGGAAAAAATCCGCGGGTACTTTGCATAAAAATGACATTCGAGCAAGCGTCTCACGATTTTTTCACGGACTTTAGTCGACCATTAAAGATGAGTGAGACCCTCCGATTCGAGTTTAATATCTGAATGGATGACTAATGATTCTTCGCAACTTCAAAGACGGGGTTTTAAACTTTCTTTGTTTATTACGACGGCAATCATTTACATTTTACAGTTAACGAGCGTTCTGCGGTTTCTCCAAGATTACGAAAAGCCAATTTATTTTAATGATGATTCCTCCCTCTCTATACTTATTCTCGGAATGGAACGCAGAGAGAAATTCTGTGCATTCAATACCAGAAGCTTGAGGTCAGAAAAATATACTCCCGTAAACGCAGAATTTATTCATCAAATGATGAGAGTAATGACTCCAAATAATAAAACAAGAGCCTACATCAGTCAAATAGTTTCAACAGCCAACAGCATACTCAGCATGTGATGTTAAGTTGGGCCAATAAGGGAAGCAACCATTCCATGCTCATTTTAGAAATAACATATCGACGGTGTAAGTCAGCAGTCACATAACTCGGTTTGCGACGTCGCAAACTTCCTGTCATACTTCATTTTTGAAACGGAAAACTATTCAACGGCGATTATTTAAAACTGCCGTGATTTTCCTTCTCTGTGCGAAGAAAGTTCTGCAAAAACTTCAAGGAATGATGTCAATTTGTTCTCCTTGAAAGAAATAACATAGAGGCGGAGATTTTCAGACACCGCATACGAGTTATGTGATTGCCGACTTACACCGTCGATATGTTATTTCTAAAATGAGCATGGAATGGTTGCGTCCCTTATTGGCCCAATTTAACATTACATGATGAGTATGCTGTGGGCTGTTGAAACTGTTTGACTGATGTAGACTCTTGTTTTATTATTTGGAGTCATTACTCTCATCATTTGATGAATAAATTCTGCGTTCACGGGAGTATATTTTTTTGCCGACTTACACCGTCGATATGTGCAATTTGATTCCCTGTGAAAAAAATGTGATTTTATGGATGAGCCAGAAATAATAGTTTACCGAAATATAGTACAAATAATCAAAACGTGTTTTATTTTTGTCACTCTCTTCCTTCTTGCAAGGCTTCTTGCAAGGCTTCAGACATTGCTATTTTTGGGAATTCTGTATTTATGGTTCATTTTCTTCTGGGAAAACTATAGTGAAAATGCTTTCTTGCAGTAGCGGAGCATTGCGAGTTCACGCCTCGCGCCAGCGCGCCTTCAATTTTGGAGATGCGACCCGGACATCCATCAAGCACGAATAGTTGTATCTCTGCGCCGTCATCATCCTGCGTCTTTTCCTACGCTTAATTTCCAGAAACTGATTTAGTGACAACGTCTACCGATGTAATATCGATCTCTTGGTTCAAACTGGAACAAACTATATAACGTCATGTGCGAATTCTTCATGACTTAATTATGTTATCTTATTGGAATTTGGTCATTGACCGGTCATAAATCCATTGAGGACTCATTAAATACGAGAAATTTCGATTCTTAGAAACACTTGGACGCATTTTCCCACCATCCCTAGTAGCAGAACCATAAAAGGAAAAGATAAAGATTATGTACGAAAGTTAATTTTTTTCTATATAATGCATACATACGAATGTGTTAAAAGTGAACATTTTTATGTAACCATTATATAAAAAAAGTCATAATTTTTGTGAGCTTTTCGCAAACATTCTAAAAAATCCTCTAATTCGCAAAAAGCTCACGAAAATGATGACCTGTATAATAGCTACATAAAGATGTTCACTTCTAACACTTTCGTATGCATGCGTTTTATAAAAAAATTGTCTATAAAAAAATTACCTTACCTAGCTTTATCATTTTTCATATATTATGGTCAGGTCTGAACTTTGATTTTTTTTTTTATTTAAGCGTTACACGTTTTATATATAAAACTACCATTTAGATAACAGTTTGACATGTTTATAGTATTTTAGATATGTTTTTTTTTTATACTTTTTTTTTAAAAAAAAAAACAAAAATTTATTCTGCTACTAGGGATGGCGCTAAGACCGCGAATCAGAAACAAAGGTATGTGTTTGTATACATTTGAACCATGACGCAGCACCTAAATCAGTCTATTTCGGAGTCAGGCTGGCGACATGAGCGCTAGGGGGCGCGGGCGGAAGCGGCGGAAGATTAACCGCAAATTGGGGAAGAAATTCGTCTGAAGCCAGACGCGGGCGCGGGGTTTCATTAACGTTGATGGAAAAAGGAATTAGCCGATTGAGCCGGCTCAGCGGGCGCTCGATCGGGCATTTATTAGATAACGGCAGATCAATTGCGCGACTCCGGCCCTCCGCTCGGCTTTCGACTCGCGCCAGATTACAAATCCAATTTGCATACCCGAAAACGGGAACGGGATTCCGGCTCCCACCGACTCCGACTCCCCCTCGTGCCCTTGCGATGCGCCGTGCCGAGTCGAGGAGACACCATCCCGGACGGACCCTTGGTCCAGCTCTTCCTTGCCCAGGAGCGGATACGCTTATTTTGTGCCCTCTGGAGCTTCCCCGTTTGTAAATAATGACCTAATGAGCCAGTAGCGCGGCTAAAAGAATCTTGTTTTGATGCCCGATTCTTGTAGATCAGGTAAAAATTAGAGTCTCTTTATACTGAGAGTCAAGACAACACCCCCTCATGGATTCACAAACGGGAATAAAGATTACAGAAACTGAACGTTTTTTTGTAATCTTCGATCGGCCCATTCTCAAATTCCTTTCTCCGTTTCCTCTCTCATTCCGTTTGTTCCTTGCCGAACCCGTAATTCCCTGGTCCATTCCAGATTATAATCTTTGCAATCGGTGAAAATGTAATCTTTATTCCCGTTTGTAACACTGTGCGGAGGCCGAAAATCCGGGAGCCAATCAGAAATGTATTCACATTGTCTTGACTCGCAGTAAGCGACTCTAGTCCAGCCTAATATATCACACCTATCTTCAAAGCGCGATATCTCTGCGGGGAACTGCGCTTGGTGAGTCAAGCC